AGGGCAGCGCAAGGGCAGTGTTAAAGCCTGTAGTAGAAGATCCAAATCTCTTGCTCTATACATCTATGGTTTACATAATGGGTTAAGTATCTATTATCTGTTCATATATCAGTTAAATAGCACAGTTTGGTGATGCTGAAAAGATAAGCCTGTGGCCCACAAAACAAGCACATCCAAATAAGGATCATTAAGGCTACTGTAACGGGACAGGAGTGTTAACATTATGTTTCAACATGAGACTATATAAAAACAAATACTGTAATGCAAATGCTGCAGCTGCATAATATCTTAGTTTTATTAGGAAAGCACAGAGGGGGTGCTAGTGCTCCACTGGGTGGCGGAGCGGGGTCAGGGGGGGGTCCTGCCATCCCAACCAGAATAAGAGTCTGGCCTAAGCTCCCGCTGCCACGGATCAGTATGTGCCGCCTCTCCCCTCGCTGCCTGGGCTGATGTAACTCACTGGAGTGGCAAATTACACCAGACCTACAGCTGTAGCCCGACATTATGATTAATTTGATCAGTAATTTCTCCTGTTTTTCATTTTAATCGCCGCGACCATTCTGCTGTGGCAGGTCTTTCAGATCTAATTAAGATCAATTCCGGTGTAACAGACTTGGCGAGCGCCTTTACCCCGTCAAATCCCCGAGCTCTCCAGGCGTGGAGAAAAGCCACAAGCTCGAATCAATCAACTCGTGGTGAAATCCTGCGGGCTCCCACAATCAGCCCATTAACACACTTAAGCAAATTTCATAATCTGCTGCTGTCTATTTGTCATCACCACTGTGACTGTTTCAGGAGCCTGTGGACCTCATTACACTGTACTAGAGCAGGGAGGACATGGGCGGGGCCAAGGTTACATTCTCACTTTATTTAAGCAAATTAGTCACAGTAATCTGCCTTTGACCACTGACTCAAGGGGACGCGTCTGTTGTGGTATGATGTGTACTAATGTGGATATTAATGAGGTAGTTAATGAACACAGAATGAAACACAGTGATACCTCAGACACAGGGGATGTAATGAATGCAGGGATTTCTCAGTACGAGTTAACAAAGAGTATCACATGTGTCCCGGGAGAGCAGAATTACAATAGGACATTAATTGGAACATAATGAGTGTTTGTCTCGAGGTGGCTCAGAGCTGCGTTGGCCACATAAATAGATGAATGGCTGGCTGATTCTGCATGCTGGAATTATGAGAGGGAAATGGGAGTGTTATCACTGTTATGCTAATTTTATTATGGTAATTATAGCTCCACTTTCTTCCAAAGACCTGCTCCTCTGGGTAAATTATGGAAATACCAAAACACCCACCTGTGCCTTTAATTAAAGCTTCCAAAAGGAGCATGAGAACAACATTTAAACAGAGTCTAAGGAGGTTTTATGAACAGTTTTATGAATTAGCAAATAGTTAGTAAGTTAATAGTATAGAAGAAATAAAAATGCACATTTATATAATAAATAAGTACAGAAAAAAGCATAAGGAAGTGAAATTTTACAATAACAATAAGGCAATTTGATTACACCTTTAGTAGCCTTAATAAAAGAATGAATGATTCATGCTGAAGAAAACGTTTAGTAAGAATGATTCAGTAAGAATGATCTAGGCTTAGTAGTACTTAAGTAATACCTTCATCATTCAATTAAATATGGGGAGAATTTAACTTTAATTAATGAAAACCTTAATCATAACTCTAACCCTAACCCTTCAAGTAGTTATTAAGCCTGAATCATACTTTATTAACTCTTTGTTCCTTATGAATTGAGCCTCTCTTCATGCTTTAAAGGTGTACTGCATAACTTTTCTGGTCTGCCACTGGCTTGTCTCCATGGTGATGGTGATGTTACTGCTTTGCTTGGAATGTTACACCGTATAACATTAAACATATATATAGCATTTATTCAAATTTTTAATTGAAAAATAAAAAAACAATACTTTGAAAACATTCTTACTTTTACAGTGGTGCCTCTTCACAGATTTGACCTACAACTTAAGCTGGTGAAATCTCCATGGAGACATCAGTTTATTGACTTAATGTTGTAGAACATTCCAGCCCAAAGCAATAACACCTCCATAGATAACATACAGCTGGTGAACCCTCTACCAGTAAAGTTCCGCTGTGCACCTTTAAGGCAGAGGCTGTAAATAGTGTAGTTTTTAGTGTTACCAGACTTTTACTTTGTCTGTTTATTGATGTATTTCTGAAGTGCATAACTGCTACAGCTATGCCATGACATATGGACATACATTGCACCTTCAATGCAGAAGGCCACTTAGAAAAGCATGAGGTGACAGATACGAGTTAGAAATGTCAATGTCACACAAAATTTTAAACCCTAATGGTGCATTTCCTTTAAAATGTTGAAAGGATTTCACTAATAGTTATGAATGGACTGAATAAATAGAGCGGGAGCATTAGTAGAAGGTGCACCTGCTGTTTAAATCCTATTGTGAGAGAGCTGGGGGCGGTGGCCTGTCCTTGGCGAGGCCCTCCTGTGTGACACTCCACAGCACTGACCCGGAGAAACTAAACCTTTTATGGCCATTCTGCTAGAGCCACACACACACATATATACACAAAAACTCACACACACTCACGCACACACACACATTCCATAATCCCATTTGATAAGGCAATATCTTAATGATAGCTGATGTGGCCCTTCATCCCCTCAAAGGTCTGTCCTCAGTCATCATAATCAGTCTGCTGCTTCTTTTAGAGAAGCCAGGCTATTTAGTCAAGGGTCTCCACATCACTCAGGTCTGGCCAATGTGCGAGGGTCACCTGTAAGACTGTCTTGGACTTTTAAACAAATGTATGCTTTTTGTTTGGTGATATTTTGTGCTTTTTAACATTTTGGTCAAAACATGAAACAAATTTTTACTTGTACTATTTATAGAACAAAGTGGTAGGTAGAGCGTGAACTGTTTAGGAAAAAAGACCTCATCAGTTTATGATGTGAAAGTGAATAGGTGCACCTTTTTAACACACATTCTAATTTTGATTTCTTAAAGCAGTTTTTTCCGTTAATAGTGGAGTCTGTGGTGGCCCCACATAGTCTTATTTTTGTCCCCACAGTTTAAAATTTAGTTGAACAAAAATTGGTAAAACAAATGATACTTGCTGGTAGTATTACCATCACAAACATATAGAAATAACTATATTTAATCTGTATTCTGTGCTTTTTTGATCAATAGAGGCAATAAATGACATTTGTTTTCCAAATATTCAATTAAATCAAATCATTCAAATCTGGGTCACAAGTCCCTTGTGCTGGTTAAAGTGAAGTAAAACGTGTACCTGTTTCATTTTTCTAGTAAAATGTGAAATCATGATCTGCTACCTGCCTCATAAGTGAATGACTGTTTGATCCCTAAGAGCCAGCACAGGGTCAGACTGGACAGTGCGGTTGTGGCTAGTAGCCTTTGGAGCCCATTAAAGCAGGGCTGTTTTTCCTGGTGAGTCTCAGCAGGCCGTGACAGGGCCGGAGAGGGCTGCAAGGGAGGAAACAAATAGCCCAACTCATCCTGGCCATAAAGAAGGTTGCACCACAACCCAATAAGGCCCTGACGCTGATGAATGTGACCGGGGACAGAAAGGCGACCCTGCCCAGTCTCCTCCAGAAATGAAACCACAGGGATATAAAATAGGTTATTATCGGCATACTATGACAGCAGGACGGACACGGGCCAAAGATGGACTGATAGACAAAAGCAGGTTGATTAGGAATAGCAGCTAACATAGAAAGATTACTGTAGACATCCAGAGGTGAAAGAAGCGTTTTTGAAATCTTCATCAGCATGACGTGAATACAGTTCACATAGCCGGTTTGTGAGGTTACATGTGCTCAATTATGTCAAGGCTTTCAGGTACAAATACATATTCAAATAGCCTCACACAGAGCTGCCAGAGTCCATTTAAATATTTCCACTAGATAGAATACTGACAGTGTATCAAGCGCTGTGTATAATGCCTAAGCACTGCATTTTCTCAAGGTTGACCTGGCTCACATCATATCAAAGTCAATTCATGATTTAAATGTTCCACTTCAGGGCTTTAAAATAAGTATAACTTGGGTTGAATTGAAAATAAAAGTAAATTTTTTGGTTAAAATGTGCTCTTTGGTGAGTCATAAAAATACACTAATATGATTTGTATGGTTTTGTACTCTTCAATTTGTAAAGGTGGGTGATCTTTGAATATGCTCTATTTCTTGAAAAGGGTGTTTGGTCTTTGAAACCAGCCAGTTAGACTAAGTGTTTTGATATTTCGACCACTCCTACATACAATTTTGTCTAATTCTGATAATGTTGGATTCAAAGTCAAATGTGAAAACGTCTACCTTGGAACTCATGGACAAAATAAATCGTTTTAGTATTAGTCAATCCTCTACAAAGTTTGTAAGCACTGTGTAAGTTTTCTGGTGGAGGACACATCAAATTTAATTTGGCCTCCTGACTTCAAATGCTTGTCTCCATGAAGATAAACAAAAACTGTAGACAAAGCAATGGGGCTGTAGTCATTTAGTTGATTAATAGGATAATGTAGTTTTAGTCAAGCAAAATTTGTCTTCAACAACTAATAATTTTATTTAGATTAAAATGATTTATATGGAACAACAGCAGAACAGAAAAGTTAGTGAGGTAGCTGATGAGTTGGTATTTTTAGAATTTATATGTAAAAAAGCAGATTAAACACATAAGTAAGTTAAATCCGTCTATATAAAAATACACCTATTACTTAGTACTTTTTCTGCAAAATTTTTGTTTTTGCATGAACTCCAAGCAGGTGTAATCTTGTGAGTGACAGATACATAGAGGCATACATAATAGTTTTAAGAGCTTTCACCATGCTGTTTTTTAGTTGACCAATTGGTCAGCAGGACTTATCTTTAGTCAATCAAAAATATCTTTAATATGGTAGACAAGCAGGTGACAGACTCTCCATCAGGAAAATTACACAATGCACTTCTAAACCAGTACAAGAGTGTAGCACAAACCGGCAAAGGCATGGGTGGGGTGACAGGTGACGGCAGGCTGCGGGCGGGGGACTGGTTGGGCCGGTGTGGGGGAGATTGCTGTGGCTGTCCGGTGGAGGAGCATGTGGAGCCTGGGGAGGGGACAGAGGTCTGCTGGCTGGGCGGAGTCATATGGTGCTGGGGGGGCAGCTGGTTGTGGCTGTGGCTCTGTTGGTGCTGCTGCTGCTGCTGCATCTGCTGGAGCTGCTGGAGGTGCTGGAGCTGGGAGTTGAGTGATGAGGTAGCTGTGAATCAAACAGAATCTACATTAATATAGTGTAGAGGATATAGACTCACACAAGCATACAGAATATAGAATAACACAAGAATAAAGAGAGCATGTTTGTTACTGGTGGAATCTCTCACACTTTGAGTACAACATAAAGGTGTGGAATGCACAGGCTGTGTGCTGAGAGATACATGTAAATTGCATAGTGCCACAACAAGGTCCTCTAGGGTTTTCCTCTAGCGACAGAGTCAGTGAATTTAATTTAAGTAGTTGGAGGACAAAGCTATCAAGTCTGACTGACATAATTGCTCTCATCGCAGCCAAAAGTCTTCATTGTCACTTGGAAAGAGCAAGAATCTTTGGTTTAATGGGTGAAAATCTAACAGGAAGAAGACATCCATCTAGGCTGCAAGACTTCTGAAATAAACCCATTAACTAATTGGATCCAATAATGGCGCACCATTAGGACCTAATTTCTACATTTAAATGCTTGTAAAATTTTATGCTGTTCTAAAAAAAATGTTAACGCTCTGGCTGAGAATGATGAAGACAAGGCTGCATGCAAATTACCCATAGAAGCCAGAAGTCTGAACCAGAGATTAGCAATGGTGTTATACAATAAAATATAACAAATGCTTTAAAAGAAAACTGGTTAAAAGTCCAGTGAAAACTTTTTTTGTAAATGTTTTGACCTTCACAGCTCTATTAAAAGAAATAAAAGTTGCAGGTCAGACATGATTCAACACCAGATAAAATGTTGACAGAAATGTTCTGGTGGAAGTGAAATGCAAAAGATGTGGAAAAGAAAGAGTTGTGAGTGTGGTGGTCAAAGCTGTGAATAGGCTGTAAACATGTGTGCTTGTATCTCCGTTTGGGCTGAATGGCTGCGTTGTCAACACAGTTCTATCAGTACAGAATGTTTATGCTCTGAATTTACTTCAGGGGTAGCAAGGCAATGTATAAAGTGTGTAAAATCTTTGCTGAAGTTATTCACTAACGCGTGATTTACCTGAAAGACTGAGTAACTGATTTGACAGAAGACTGGTGAACATGGACAGAACAGCATCTAAGATAATAGTAAAGTGAACACAGGAGTGGACATGCTTGTATACATACTGGATCAATGGGGCTAAATAATGTATGTATAGTTGTCTCATAAAAGATGAATGAAACATCAGGTGAGGCATGTCTTTGATTAGAATGGTCACTCTGAGTGTATGACGGTCACAGATGAAGATTTGATGAAGATCAGCTCTTTCTGCTCTTCCTCACTCTCATGAAACGCAGCAGAAAGCAGCCCGCTGCTCCAGGCCCGTAAACAGCACATTTTTACATTCTTCTACCTCCTGACACATTGACACCTCTCTCACACCCCCACCATGAATTATATATCATCTGAGCCAACGCCAAGAGTCCAATTCTCACTTGAAATGTTGGGGCAAGTTGTCTGGCAAACGCTCAGCCCCTGACAGGACCCGTTCGGTTCCTTTGCAACTTCTCCACGACAAAATGTTGAGCCTTATTTAAAGATGGAATAAAGTGGAACAAAGACGCGAAAACAAAAGGAGGGGGCCGCAAAAATGAGATTTCTGTCAGAAATTATCGAAACCAGGAAAAGATCAAAGACAATTGGAGAATTTCCTCCAGCGCCAGCCATTACGCTGAGGAACAAGAAGCACAACAAAGAATATGAGGCAAAAGCAAACAAATACAGAGGGAATATGGAAGAAGCCCCATGTGGCCTTATTATAAGGGCTACACCGCAGGTAACTATATTCTTTAACAGCAGTGCTTTATAAATTCTGTCATCTTGTTAAGACTGTCAGGACCACTGACCCTCCCCTCGCCTCTAACTGGGCAACTGGCATTTTGAAGCTCATTCTTTTAACCACAGCTGTCTGATTGCTTTGCTCGAGCACATAATCCACAAGGCTTGTCTCGGCTAATTGTTTGTGCTCCTTCCTCCAGCAGACACAAGGCTGACGACCAGAGTGGAGCTTCACTTGTGATGGAGCGAGGGCAAAAGGCGCCCCGCTCCTATACAGCTCATTATATCTCCCTCTGTCTCAATGTTGTCTTTCGTATTCACTGGTCCCCGACTGCGATACAAGCACTTCTGCCACTTAGTCACATGCCTGCAGGCTGCGAGGCTCCCAGTATCACTGCTGTCACTGCTCGCCTATGTTAATGTTTATAATGAGCAATAAGACGATGCAACACAGGGGCAAGGCGCACTGCTAAAGGATCTGACACTACATGAGTCAGAGCATTTGAAGCACCATTTAAACATTTAACAACAATCATGGGAGCGCGTGAAACATCAGACCTCCAGCCCCATCTCCAGTCTCTTTGTTCCTTTCCATGGTGGCACAGAAGAAATCAACTGTTATCTTTGACTGTCCCGGCCTGGCTTGTGAAGTAGTGAAGGACGAGTCAGACTGATTGTCAGAGGTCGAAAGGCGAGGTCAGAAGCTGCTCATTCGTCAGACAAAATGCTATTTTTGTTTCCTGTGGTTCAGGAGTGAGAGAGGAACACGTCTGCTCTCTCATTACCTGCTCTATCTAGTCGTATTGCACCCTTTTTCTGAGGCTGAGCTTGAATGCTTGTTTTCTTTTCATCGCGCCACATGTGAGTTTACCCCTCTGCACTGTGAATCTCATTTCTAAGATACATGACTCTGTACTACTTAGGTTAGGGCAAAAGTTGCATTTTCTTTTTCCACTTTGTTCAGTTGAAAGAATGAAAAACAGATACACTAATATAAATAGAAAGAGTCTTATCACATATATTACAGTAACAAAGTGTTGTTGAAAATACAGCTGTCACAGTTTTAACACAAAGCGAACAAACAGTGTCTGCATTACAGCTGTGGCTCACGTTCTGCTGTGGGAGTCCATAAAGCAAAGTCTCAATTGCCTTTTCAGTGAGTCACGCTGATAATTACTCCTCTGGAGGTAAGGAGATTTAGACTCTATGAGATCTGGTAATTATGAAGGTGGTCAAAGGAAGGTCATTTGTCCTCAGCAGATTAGATGGAGCACTTCCATACTGATGAAGTGGATAGCATCACTGCTGAAGCTGGCCCAGTGCTAACCTCCATCAGCAATGGAGACTCATCACAGCACAAGGCCCACAGATTCTAACTGTAATTGTGATTAGAACTGCTCACCATGTCAGCTGGATTTCACATTTTCACATTTCAATGGGTAGTCTTTTATATCAGTATATGATGATTTTGTTTTTTGTTACAGGAGTATCCGTATAGCTATATAGGATTAGCAATAATAAACTTCAACCTTTTAGGTTTAAGTATAGAGTAAGATGACTCAAGATGTGTGCTACTGTGTGGAACTGATGTAAGATGCAGAATAAATAGTACAAAGAGGATGTAATGTGCCACTGAATAAAAACATGACTCTCAGCGCAGCAGGCAGTGTAAGTGCCTTAGCGCTGCTGCAGGACTGGGCTAGCACAGGAAATACAGGCAGTTAAGGATTGAGAGGAGTAGCACAGCCACAGGATTTGAGAGTAAACCACATTGCTTGTAGGGATCCAGAGATAATGCTTTTACTTTGTGATGCAAGGCAATATCAAGCTGCGTTGTAGAATTCTCACTCTGGGGGAAGCATTTCAAAGAATCAAATCCTCTCCATGGAGATGTAACACATAGGAGAAAATCCCTGTGTACTCGATAATGTTGTCCTTTTGGTGTTGCTTACGCGAGCTTATTGATTTCCAAAGTGTGGTCCAAGAACCTCGAGGGAGGCCTTCACGGAATTCCAGGGGGTCATCAGAAAAATATGACACATTTCCTTGTTTTACTTACTGCAAACTGTGATGATTGTGGGATTTTGATCAAAGTTCATCAAGTTTTCCTATTTGTCAAAAGGAGCAAGCATGGGTGCTGAGTGGTTGCCTCACAGTAATGAGTTCGGCTCCCTGGCATCAAACTGCTCATTAGGACTAACCCTCCATCAGATCCACAAAATGCATAAGGAGAAATAAAGCACTTTAACTTTATCTTGTTATTGATGAACAGGTATAATCAAAGTCAACTCTTTGACTATGAGGACATTATCTTGAGTTCTGTATGAACCCCCATGGCCTACTGTTATCACTAGAGTCTGTCTCACTTCTGAAGCCTCAACTGAGAGCTCGGTCTGGGGTCCCTTACCCTGGTCCTTGTAGGTCGTATGGAGCCAGCTGGACAGTGCTCCCTGAAGCCTGTCTGCCCGGTAGTACACGTTGGCTTATTACAGCGTGTTCACGGTCCCATCGTGTCGTCAGACCAAAGCAGAGGCCACGAGTAAAAGCCTCATGCAAAATTTATGTTCATGCGGCTGTTTCAGGGGCTGGAAAAATCAATATTGCGGCCTGATGCTGGGAGATGACTGAGTGCTCTCTGACTGACAGTAAAAGCTCAAAGAGATTCAGGGGCTACGTTTACTGCTCTAGAAGTGGAGTCCAATAGAGTTGCCCTAATAGTGAGGTTCACCTTAAATTTGAATTTTATTGACAATGTTTTGGAGAAGTTGTAAAAAGAAGCCATTAGAAACAAATAACTTATGTATTGTTGAAATTGTATTGCTGTTCATGGACAACTACAGCTACTAATGTCCCTCAGCCACCAACCTTGGTGTCACTGTAGACAGTGATTTTAAACTTAATAAGCAGGTCTGTTCTGTTGTTAAATTCTGTTGTTTTTATCACCTTGATCTTGATTCAAAGTAAAACCATTTATATCTTTTAAACATTTTGCACAGGTTATGCATGCTTTTATCTCTATTCATCTGGACTACTGCAATGCACTCTACACTGAAATCAGCCAAAATGCACTTTATCACTCCCAGTTAGTCCTCAGCTCTGCGACACAGCTCTTAACAGGAAACAAAAAGTGTAATTTTAGAATTGATTTTAAAATGTTTTTGTTTGTTTTTAAAGTTTTAAATGGACAGGTCCTACAGTTTGTTTCAGACCTCATGCAAATTTACACCCTTGCATGCCCTCTGAGGTCT